TCGTGTATTTTGATAGTTTTAGTAATCTTCGACCGCCTAAAGAACTGCGATATTTCGGGAACAGTACGACGAAGAATACAATCGCACGTCCTATCAGACGTATGATTAAAGCTCCTGCGGACAAATGTGTCTGCGGTTTCTACAAACGGTAGACGCGCATGAATTTAAAAAGATCGACGAGTTGTTGTGAAATGTCAGTATTAGTCGAACGCTTTTTCCGTCATTTTGTTGATACTTACGCTCAGCGGGAAGAGTACCGTCCTCGCGGCTACTACTTTCTCGCCATAGATTTGAGGGACGATTTGAGGGTGATTTCAAGCTCAGTCTGGCGATTTTTGAGACTTATCACACGATATTGAACATAAACGAATCGAACAACAAATTTTATTTCAAAGAACTGGAAAGGATACGGACAGTAGGAGTCAAGTGCAGAAGACATCGCGCAAACAATATATCTATGAAATGTGAAACTTCTTTATTAATTAAAACGCGCTTACATGTTTCAGTTCACTTTTGAGCCCTCCTCAGAGACACAAACTAACATACATAAACTGTGAATAAAAATTATCCTGTCATGGTGAGCTCCCTTATCTCGAGGATTTAAATGCCAGAATTAAACCCAAAAAAAGTAAAAGAAAAAGAAAAAAGAAAAAAGGACGAAAAAAAGGAAATAATGGAAATATTGAAATAGAAAATATGAAAAATTAATTTAACAAAAATCTTAAAATTATATAATTAAATATCCCGAAAATAAGGATGCTCACCCTGATCACAAATCACAAACTATATTACAAATATTACTACGAATTATTCAAAAAGCGGTTCTCGACATTTTTTGGCCAATTAGTGTCAGATGCAGTGAGTCATTTTTAATTTTAGCTAGTATTATTGAAGCTAACAAATGAAAAATTTTGCATTGGAACGTTAATCATTCATGAAAATAAAAGTTGGAAAGTAATCAAAATTCACGCCAAAAAGACTCATTGCTACGCACGAACGACACTGACTGAAATTTTATTTTGCCAAAGACGACGCGAAAATTACAATTCCCGAGGGGGAATTCGTACGAAGTGCGAGACATAAATGAATTTTTGAAACGCGCGATTTTACGGAAATTAGTACGTCGCGACGTGCTTGAAACCGTTGATGTAGTGCGTAGTGACAATAACAACAACAACACTGACACCGATGACGATAATGATGAGGGTGGAGAATACCCGATTACGCTCCGTGCAAACTCAATATAACACAATGAGATGCGAGATTAGATGTGCATACAGCATTGTAGCGCTGCTGAGATTCTCGTTGAAGCGTATACTGCGACCGCGAAGATGGCACGAATCGGACATGTCAATCAATATAATGAACATAAACGTTATTCGCGTAGATTGTAACATGACCGCGGGCGCATACAGTAACGACAAAAGCGCGCACACAATACACGAATTTTCGCCATATATTGCCGCCAAAATATAAGATATCGTAGAGACCGTCGCAGATTATTTACCTGCCGATTATTGCACGGAGCATTACGGATCTAACAATACGCGTCGTAGAACGGACAATTGCTCGATTTTTAGGAGAAGAGATCACTGTTAAATTGCATGTACGATGGCGACAGTGATAACGTAAGCATAAGATGCTGAACGGAACGGAAAGCACGCATAAAGATAACGCATTCTTTACAAGATTGGTGACGTCACAGCTCGATAACACTCGCTCATTCAGCTGCATCAGAAAGAAGAAACTCAGCGCGTCGAACGTTACATTTTTAAAGTCTTTAGAATTCACGGTGCGCAACATTTGAGATGACTGATATCCTAAACATTAAAGATGAGCCGATCTTCGACGATCGCATCATCAAGAGACTGACACGTACAACAACATCCGTTTGCCAACACAACGTTCGGGTACAGTGACGAGATAAGAATACTCGTACAACAACTGGACTGTATCACTGCCGTACGAAAGCTTTCTATACATCGAGGAAAAACTAATAAAGAATAAAGTGGTCCAGGATGCTAACGTGGCATTGAGAAATAATTGCGTCTCGTTCATATTCGATGAGATTCAATATAACTCAATGGTATGGCGATTGATCATAATAGAAACGTGAGTATAACTAGCACGCTCAAAAACTGTAATGTAACAGTGCTATCCGACAGAATTGCGATTCTGCGGAATGCCGGCTGGGATGCGCAGACTACTACGGCCGGATACTTTAATTTCTGTGTACCGCTCTACGTACTGCTGGGATTTTGCGAAGAATACAAACATTGTGGTGATCAATGCTCGTCACGAATTTATTTCAATACGAGCGCGCAACGACGACAATTGTCTGATGGGAGATCCGGCGCTCGAATTATTCAAAGTACAGTGACGAATGCACGTGTTATTGAACGAGATAAATAAGCTGTTGATGCTGCGTGTTTTGGAGAGCGGACGATATCTGAGCATGACTTTTGGCTCATGGGATCTGTACGAGTTTTCGCTCTTGCAGAGCACAACCAAGCATTTTGTGGGCCATCAAAACGGCTATTCAGATCGAGAAGCCGCGCTACGTCATTTTCGTTATGCAAACAGGTCGAAAAAAAAACATATCCAAGTATATAAGTCGATTCGACGACTACAAATTAACCAATGTGAAACTCTACTTGAATTCGGAATGTTATCCATACGATGATTTGAATTTGGATTTTGATAAAAACAGATGTGCGATTTTGTATGACTTGTACGCGCGTTTCTGCAAGGGCTATGGATACGAATATCTCGAGCCGAGTCTCATTTTTATAACTTTTTTACGTAATGGCCCGTTCGTAATCATCGATTGCTTTCGACAAAACAAATCGGTCAAAAGTGGCACCGTAGACGTACGATTAGACTTTGAATGTAAAGAGAACATGCTCCAAATATATTAAACAGCCTATTGTCTCATCATACACGATCGCGATTCAGTATAATCCCTTGACCAACGTTGTGAGCAAAATCAAATCACTTAAGTGCACCTCTGACACTATATAAAATCTACGATATCGACCGCAGTCGACCGCAGTCTTCTCGACAATATGCCCGTGCCAATATTCGTGGATCTGCAAGGATTCATTGTTAACAAGAAATTTATCGTGAAGGAAATGGCGGTGCTGAAACAGGGGACCGTTCTCACGTATTATATTTTTACGAGTCCCATGCCAAGAAAATTTTTGACAAGATCCAACAGGTCTTGCGCTTCCTGATTGAGTGCTTATCACCATGGATTGCGATGAGAGGACGGGATGGTTCCGTGCAACGGCGAAACGTCTGATCACAGCAGCTGTATTTGAAGATGATGCTATCGTGTAGGTTAAGGGACGCGAGAAACGAACGTGGCTGTGGAACTTGCTTCTGGACGATGAGCGAGAACGCATGTAATATATCGACATCTTGGATGCAGTTTACGAAGACATCGAATCTTTAACTAATCTGGATGTTACTAATACTATGCGATGTGGACAACATGTTAAGAATTGCGCGTTACAAAATGTATTAAAAATATATAACTGGTGGTTGCAAAAGAATTTTTTTTAAATAAAAAATATGTTAATGTATTTATTACATATTTCTTTTTTCCCTTCCTTTATAATACATGTATGAACGTATGTATAAACGTATGTATGAACGTATGTATAAATGTATGTATGTATGTATAAATGTATGTATAAACTCTTGACAAAGAAAATACGTAGAAAGACGTGATAAAACATGTCGCGATACGTTCGAAATTCTTGGAAAGAGGAGGAGGGCCTGTCTTCCTCTTCGATTCCAGAAGTATTACCATATATATGTCACAATTTACGCAGATGCAATCAGTCTTGCGATACTCGCTTATACGAACGGTTGAAAAAATGTATACTTCGCCAAAGAGAGCAGCACATTGTACGACGTGAAGGAATATAACATGTAAGTTTCAACGTTCTATGCACAAAAGAAACAGTTTTTAACATTATGTATGTACATAGTACGGAGCATCGCGCAATGCGTTTACTGAGCAGACGTTACGATCTGACGAATATGGGCTACAAATTTTTGGAAATTGGTATCAACGTTGGTCCATCGAGTTACGTGGAGATTGCTCTGGGAGATCATCGCGGACACGAACTGTCGCTGTCTCTTGAAACGTGGAAGAACCTTTACGAGCAGCGATGGAATATTTACAAGATGCTTCGAATACAAGGACAATTTTATAAGCTTTGGACCGCTAACCGTCAGAGTTTGCATGCTGAACGATGTTACGCTCGTACGTCTCGATTCTTCGTCCATACGCATTACGATGATCGAAACGACGCTACGCCGTATGTTTGACTTTGACTTTGGGTATATCGATGTAACGTTCAAATGATTAGCCCGATTCGTCGATACGGTTGATGTCAAGTATACGCGATTCTCTAATATCACATCTGAGAACGCTATACATGATAGCGATATCTTCAATGGACATCAGGGCGTCGATTGCGAGTTATTAGCTTTAGTTTTTAACACATATAAAAAAACGATGTAATAACATGTGAATAAAAAAATTTTCTTTCGCATTACTACATATGTATTTTCTTTTACTCCCCATCCTTTGCCTTGACGCGCTAATAAAAAACCTACTCATTTTTTGCGACATCTAGAGTTCTATAGTTCTATAGTCTGCAAACATTGTTGGGACATGCCGAGCCTGACGAGGGCGTGACGATCGCAGGAGAGAGTCAGTCCTGCGACCCGCGCTCATGGGTTAACACACGTGCCACGCTGGGCCCTAACCTTGTACTTACAGCAAATATACATCACGAATATAAGAACGTATGTGTAGATTGATCATCGTCGTGCAAATCCTAACTGGCGCTGCGGCTTTTTTTTCCCCGAATCTTTTCTTTATACGGACAAGAATTCAACTAATATGACGACACCAACGTCATAAATCGAGGC